CCGGGAGTTGCACAATCTCATGGTCTAAGGAAATGATACTTGACATTAGAAAAGCTTTAGCATACGAACTACGATCTTTGTGCTAGGCTTAGGATTGGGTCTTGTCCATCACATCATTCTCCTAATAATGTGATCCCGTTATCAACGACATCCAATGTCCATGGTCAGGAAACCATAACCATTTATTGATCAACGAGCTAGTCAACAGAGGCTTACTAGGGACATGGTGTTGTCTATGTATCCACACATGTATCTGAGTTTCCTTTCAATACAATTATAGCATGGATAATAAACGATTATCATGAACAAGGAAATATAATAATAACTAATTTATTATTGCCTCTAGGGCATATTTCCAACACACAAGTGGGGAAAATCACGCTGTGTATTGAGATACGTTTCCACCTGCCAATACAAAGGCCATCCAAACAGCTGAATTGGAACCTCCCAATACCAATTCACAATTCGGAGCCTGAATACATACATCCAAACGCAGTGTAAAACAAATTAACATTGGAAAAACTTTCTTCTGCGCGTACCACTTAAACAACTTAGCAAGTAGCTAAACAATAGTTTGAAATTACTCAAAAGTACCAAGATCCATTCTTGGAAACAATCCATTATGAGATAGAATAGTGTGTCCTCTCTTATTACAACATCACATGGGATATGAAATCCGATTTGTCAAGTTCTAGGTTTAATAAAAAATCCATTCATAATTTTACATGTCTACAAACTAACTCATTGTCCTGATTATAGATTCAACTTTTAGGAAGTTAATTAATGTCAGCGAGTCACATATGAATATGTTTTCTATTCCCGCCGTGCAGCCGATACACCTGCATGGACAGGCCCTCGTCGCTGCCACACCTCCATCGCTACGCCATCAAGGAGGAGTTGCCACCGCCGATCACCAAGGCGCGGGGTCACCTCCTCCACTACCTCGTAGGAGGTGGTTACGGCGGTGCCTCGGGCTCGAGAGTTGTCGTATCCGATGCGGAGCGCGCGGCGAGGAAGCAGATGAGGTACGACCGGCGCAATGCCGGTCGCTACTCCGTGTTTGCCAAGAGCGATGTGGCACCGTAATGAGTCCGAATGACCCCGACCTCGCCGCCGCACGGGCGCTCGACTGTTCCGTCACCACTGCGGAGACGGCCGCCAGGCACCGCCGCCGCCTTGACCGCGAGCTCGTCAAGATCGATGAGGGGTCGCTTAGCGACTGCTCCGCCAACGCCGGTCGCGCCAAGCCCGCTGCCAGGGCTTCGGAGGCTACATTGGCATTCGTTGTGGCAGCCCTCCGCGCAGCACAACCGGGGGCGGAGCGGCAGGCAGCTGCTGGAAAAGGCTGTTGTGGCCTTCTGGCGCTGTTCTACCGCCACAACGACGACAACGACATCACGGACGGAGACTGCGGTACAGCAGGGCAGGGCTGCCACGCGTACGAGCTGGTCGTTCGGTATAAGGTTTAAGTTTTTTCTATTTTTTGTCAAGTAGTCGAAATATCAACTTTTTTATGTAAATTGTAACCGACCTTGAATAAAATCCGTCATGCTTGTACGGATTTCATTCGGTTAGTTTAAAATGTGATTGAAATTTCATGGACAGATGACAGAGCAAATTTCCAGAGGGTAAGTATCGTGGAGTACCTTCTTCTCAAAAAGATAGCACCACAAAACAATTGCATGAGTAATTGGAAGCGGATTTTTTCCTAACTCCGCTCAATGTATATGGTGCACCTATTCATCTTAGACGTCAAATCAACATGTAGCTGGTCCCATGCATGGATGTCAAATCAATAGGCCTTATACTAAAAATCTGCCTCGAGGTATAGAAGGCATCGGTGGGCTACTCCACCATATTTGCTCGCAAAATTAATATGTCACCATAACTTCTAAATAAACTGTGCAAATTTGAATTTGTTTATGTATTTGAGTTTCTCATGACTAGCTCTACGAGACACGTCTAATATTGATATATTTGTAACAAAGTTTTATAAACATTTCATCAAAATTCAGATAAGCTATTTATAAAGTTCTTCGGTTCCAAATACATTTTCTAGCAAAGTTTTTTAATATTTCTAACAAAGTGCAGAAACGCTATTTACAAAGTTCTTCAACTCGCTTGTTCATTTATCCCTTTGCAAATGAAAATGAAAAGTTCTTCACTATGCCCAACAAAGTCACTGAAAACAATGGTAATTTTCTAAAAAACCATATTTCAATTTTAGTTAAAAAAAAGTGTTCAAAAATTATCAAGCCTGATCTTGTTCTAAAGATCTTGGCGTCAGGCGTTCAAATATACATGAAGTTTCAAAAACAATCTTTGATTAAACTTTAAAAAACAAATAAAAGTAATAAAGTTTTTGGAGAGAGAAAAGACAATCTATGCATGCATGTGTACTGTAGCCATGCTTGTGCCAGTCCATGGGAAAGAAAAGAGAGGCAGAGGTGCATGCACATGCAAATGGCCAGGAAAATCCATATGTTGTAGCAGCGGCTGGGATTGCGTTACCGCGCACAACCAGTTAGAAAACGCCATATTCGATGATAATCTTGAAATTTCTGAACTCGAATAAACTCTACATAAGATTCTGGAATACTACTATAACGCAATACATCTGTACATTTATCACAAGGAATTAACACCTTACAAGTTACGTAATGCATCTCATCGGTACGCTTCTCTGTGAAGGTCAATGGATCACTGCTACCATATTTTCAGCCAACAAAAGGATTAAGCAAGGGTGTCCCATGTCCCCCTTCCTATTCTTAATTTGTGCAGAAGGCTTTACTTCCCTAATGAACAATCATGGTGGCCCTCACATTGATCATGGAATCCGCGTGAGTGTTCGCTCTCCATGGGTCAACCACCTACTGTTCGCAGACGATAGCCTCATTTTCCTAGGAGCAAATCTCCAGAGCGCACAAAGACTGAATGAGATACTTCGGATATATGCAGAGTGCTCCGGGCAAGCGGTAGATAAGACCAAGAGCTCTATTTACTTCAGCCCTAATGCAAGTCAACCTGTTCGTGATATAGTCAAACAAGAACTTGGAATCCATTCTGAAGCTTTCACGGAATGTTACCTGGGTCTACCAACAACGGTAGGTCGTATTCACAGCGGCTCGTTCGACCACATTGGCGAACGAAGCCGAGCAAATATGCAAGGCTGGTCTGAGCGCCTCCTTGCATGTGCGGGAAGGGAGATACTTCTTAAATCAGTCATCCAAGCCATTCCCACCTTCAGTATGACATGTTTTCTACTGACGAAAAAAGTTTGCAAGCAACTCACATCTGCCATGGCAAAATATTGGTGGAGCAGCTCCATTGACAGGAGATCTATGCACTGGATATCATGGAAGAAGCTGTCCGTACCAAAGATTCAGGGAGGCATGGGATTTAGAGAACTGGAGAACTTCAATCTGGCGCTTCTCGGGAAACATGGTTGGCGCCTAATCACTCACGCCAACTCTCTCTGTTCTCATGTCCTCAAAGGGAAATATTTTCCCGATAGTGACTTCATGCAGGCCAACGCCGCGCCATCCTCTTCAGCTACCTGAAAGGCCATCATTGCGGGGCGATCGGCGCTGCAACAAGGATTGATCAAACGTGTGGTAAACGGAGAATCAATCTCAGTTTGGAATGATCCCTGGATTCCTACTTCCAGTACCCTCAAGCCCATGGGGCGGCTAGGGAACGACCCGATCGATCGAGTCGCTGAACTCATTGACAGTGCGACCGGGACCTGGGATCTTGAAACAGTCCGTCGGAACTTTCTCGCACCAGATGCGGAGGCCATATTGAATATTCCTATCAGGCAAAATGGTGGAGAAGATTTTCTGGCATGGGCCTTTGAACGATCCGGAGAGTATACTGTAAAATCAGCCTACCGTGCTCTAGTGACTCAGAACGAGCGTCGCGCTCTAGAGGAAGGGACGGCGGTGGGAACCTCATCTTCTCAAAAACAGTTATGGACTGCTCTATGGAAGCTCAAAGTGACCCCAAGAGTTCGCATTTTCATGTGGAGAGTACTCAGGGGGATCCTTCCTGACTACGCCAACATGAAATATCGCCACATCCGCACTGATTCGCTTTGCGATCTTTGCAAGGCTACGGAAGAAGATCTCTTCCACGCACTGATCCTTTGCACGCATGCGCAAGCCTTCTGGTCCGCAGCCAAGGAGGTTCTTGGTCTGAAACTACCACGATTGCACTATGACACTTGGGCACAAGATCTGGTGGTAGATACCAGATTCTCAGACCAGGATAGATGCAAGATCATCTCAATCATGCACTCAATCTGGAACTCCAGGAATCGCTGGACGCACGACGAGGAGGGTTATGATCCCGTCCAGGCCATCAATGGGGCCCGAGACGACCTAGCTATTCTTGACATGCCACCACCCCAGCGAAAAAACTTGGAGATTCAGAATTGGAAACCACCACAGCCCGGGTGGATCAAAATTAACACGGACGGCGCACTGGACACCCAACTTCAGAAGGGAGGTGCGGGAGGAATTGCCCGCTCTCATCTCTCCTTTATGGGTGCATGGAGCAAGCCCATCTCAGGTGTTACTGATCCCTTCATTGCAGAAACCCTCGCGTTGCGAGAGGGAGTGATATTTGCCCAGCTGAGGGGCTTCTCGCACGTAGCAATGGAGGTAGATTGCTTGGAGGTAGCGAACCTCTGGAACTCGCATCACACTCCTAGGTCGATTGTGAAGCCTATCTTCGATGAAATCAAGGAAAAAGCTGCAAGCTTCGTCTCTCTTTCGGTCCAGCATGTCGCAAGAGAAGCCAATACTTCGGTCGATCTTCTTGCAAAGCATGCCACCTCGCTTTCAGTTTCAGATGTTTGGCTGGACTCTTGTCCATCCTTTTTAGTCCGCAGTTTTTTAGCTGATTGTAACCGGATCTCAATTTCGCAATAAAGCTCCTTAATTTCCAAAAAAAAAAAGTTACAAGTGACTACAAGACAGCACCCCTCAAAAAAAAAAAGACTACAAGATAGCACCACTGTCGTCATGGTGAGCTACCCTCTTCTTGTACACATAAACGCGCGAAACAATGATGAAAGCGAGCAGCTCCACTGCGCAGAGCCCGGCGAGGAGGCAGTAGAAGTAGTCGAGGTGGGCGCGGTTCAGGTTGTTGGAGAACCAGCTGGCGCCTCTCTTCTTGGTCGCGCCGTCGATGGCGGATATGAGGAAGCTACTGAAGAAGTTGCCCACCCCGAAGATGCTGAGGTAGAAGGCGAGCCCCAGGCTGCGCAGCGCGTCGGGGACCTGGTCGTAGAAGAACTCCTGCAGCCCGATCATGGCGAACACGTCCGACACCCCGAACAGCACGTACTGCGGCACCATCCACCACAGGCTCATCGGCAGCGCCGCCTTTGGGTCGTCCACCAGCCCGGCCTCCCTTGCAACGCCCCGCCGCTTCGCCTCCACCAGCGCCGCCACCACCATGGCCACCAGCGAGAGCACGAGCCCGGTGCCGATCCTCTGCAGCATCGTGATGCCCGTTGAGAGGCGCGTGAACCGCCTCGCCGCCGGCACCAAGAGCCGGTCGTACACAGGGACGAAGGCGATGATGGTCAGGCAGATGAACGTCTGCAGCGCCGCCGGCGGCACGAGGAAAGTGGCGCCGATCCGCCGGTCCAGCGTCGCGACCTGCTTCGTGAAGAACGTCGGCGACTGGGAGCTGATGACGGCGTAGATTATGCACGTCGTCCAGATGGGGAACAGACGAAGCAGGCCCCTCACTTCCTCGCGGTGCTCCGCGTTGAACTCAGCATCCTCACCCGCAAGAGTAGTGCTTGTTACAAGAGACCAAACACATTGATTTTTCGGCCGGGGTTGTAAAATGTAGTAAGCCTGAAGCTTTCAGAATTTTCATGGCCAAAACACTTGTAAATGAGAATGATGGATAAGCGAACATACTTGGCACATTGGCTGGATTTGGAGCCTGTGATGAGCGCAACCAAGGCCCTGGCGAGGCGAGCGAAGGGGCTGGAGTGGGTGGAAGTGTAGTAGCGGTACCTGCGGGTGCCCAACAAGAAGATGGCGAGAGCGAAGAGCATGATGAGGCAGGGGATGCCGAAGCCGAGGCCCCAGCCGATGTTGTCCTGGATGTAGCTGGAGACCATGGTGGTGGCGGCGGTGCCGGAGCACATGCCGAGGAACCACCAGTTGAAGAAGGAGCTCCTGGAGACGGACTCCTTGGGGTGGTGCTGGTCGAACTGGTCGGCGCCGAACGCCTGCGAGCATGGCTTGTGCCCGGCCTCCGCCAGCGCCACCATATACAGGGAGACGTAGAAGACGGTCACCTGCACCGGGGACGGGGAGCACGCGAGCGAGAGCGCGGTGAAGCTGCTGCACCCGTCCGAGTGGAACGCCGGCAGCGCGGAGGACAGGGTTAACATCCCCAGGCTCTGCAATGGCAGCCCAAATTGTTGGTGATGATCAATTGATACTCCAATTCGTAATGGATGAGAACTGTAAATCAGAACCAGCATCGTCGTCGTGTACGCACTTTTCTGTCAGTGTCAGTGAAAGTGTGCGAGCTTAATTGGGGGAGGAGAGGATGGACAGAAAGCTCGGGCGTTCATTCATGAAGCACCTTTGCGTCAAAGGGGATTTTATTTTGGAGGAACGTCAAAAAGGGGAAATTGACGAGAGGGGGGAGGGGAACAGACCACAACGAAGAGGATGGAGGCGAGCACGATGGTGCGGAACCTCCCGAGCCAGGCGTCGGCGACGCAGGCCACCAGCAAGGGCAGCATCATGGCCACGCCGCTCCATGCGTTGATCGCCGCCGCCGCGGCGGCCGTGGACTCCGCCAGCGGCCCCGTCAGGTAGCTGATCAGGTTCGCCGACACGCCGTGGTACGCGAACCTCTCCGCGATCTCCACAACTTCAATTCCAAACAAAACAGAAGCCAAATTAAAGCCACCTCACAGTCAACCATCGGCTTACACCTGACCATCATCAGCATGCTACACCGGGGCCGTACCGAGGACAAACATCGCGGCGGGCCATCGGCCGGTGGAGGCGCGCGGCGCGGGGTCGCCCCGGAAGTCAACCACGCCGGCGACCGCGCCGTCGGACAGACGCTCGAGGAGGGCACGGGTGGGGTCCATTCTTCCTACTTCTTCTGTGTGTGCCGGTAAATTGGAAGGAGCTGCACAGATGACATTGGTTTTGGGGTGGGGGTGGGTGGTGTGGTGGTGTGGATTATTTTACTACCGTTAGATGAGTTTTTATTTTTCAAATAACCAGGGTTAGTTGAGTTGCCCTTTTCAAGAGAATTTCCTATTTAAAAGAGCAGCCCAGTTGGAGTCGAACCAGCTGACAGCCCCCAGGCCACAGCATATGTTGCGATCTGGTTGGCACGAGTTGTCTTGAAATCATCAGAAGTACTCCCACTGACTTTGAATGGCGCTGAACCAAAAACGAAAAACATCTTTGCGTACCTTTTTCTCCGTCCCAAGTATGCCTAGAACGTGATTGACCATGATTCATTTTCCATTTTTCTCTCATAACAACCAGCGGTGAAGATGCGTGTTTAACTCAACACCGTACATATATTTGGACAGGAACCATTGTATGTATAGCATCACTCGGAAGGGAATCTAACCATGATTTTACCAATCGTACACAGAATCAGTTAAAAATGTGTCGCATCGTATATCAGTTACATTCCATTTCCGGGCACGCATGAGATTCAAGCCAGGCAACACACTCCATTAAGCCAATGTAACGATGAGTCAAGCCAGATAGCATGTCCCCGCCGCGCCGCCGCGTGAAGCACGAGCTGGCGTCCCTGCTCCGTCCTATGAAGGAGGAGCCGGCCTTGCCCCGGCACAACCGCGGCGTCCAGATCGGACGCCACATGAAGGAGGAGCTGGCCTCGCCCCCGCACCACCGCGACGTCTATATTGGACACCGGGTCAAGGACGAGCCGACGTTCCCGCCACGTAGCCAGTCCCGCAGCATGCACGGGCCACCGTCATCATCGCGCCGCCATAGTCTCGCCGTCGAGGAGTTGTAGCCCGCGATCAAGAAGGCGCGGGGCCGCTCCCTCCACTACCTCGGGATGGGTGGTTGATGAAATATCCCCCTGATAACTTTTATGTGAATAGTATCGTA